GGATCGATAAATGATAAAAAATTATTTACCAAAGTGTTTTACTATAATAACAACTAATAAAGAAATAGCGAAATGTACTGTAATTTAAGAAAGGAATATATAAAGGAATATATAAAGGAATAATAAAAAAGGAATAACTGACTATTTCTACAAAAATATACGAATTGGAAAGGGTCACTACAATTTTCAGGTTAAATTATAAAATAAATATACAGGAAGATTCATTATTAATGTCCAATCACTGAGTTGTAGATTCTAGATATTAAAATAGGATGAGTCTGCCTTATGCAAATATTGATAGCTTCCGAGATAATGACTGTTTAAAGTTTAATATGTAATAGATTTTAATTTTCAGTAGTAATATCCCTAGGACATTGATAACAGACGAGATAATTTCATGACAATCGAAAGCTCGTTCCTTGGTAACAGCACGAAGCCGAAGGCTGAGTTTTGTAGAAATAGTCACGAAGCCGAAGGCTGAGTGCTGTTACCAAGCAACGAGCTTGAGAAATTTGTCATGAAATTATGAGGCATTCAGCAATGTCCGAGGGATATTCGGCAGATAATTTTTCGAAAAAAAAATCATAACTCAACATAACGAAACATTTATTTATTAAAAGTACAGTTAGTGAAAGTACAATTATTAAAATTTAAGTTAACATTAGATTCGTTGCTGTTCTCTACTATAGAAGATCTATTACCACTCATAATATTTATAATCTTATTGTGGTGTTCTTGATCGAGATTCAAGTATGGTTTATCCAAATTTATTTGGATGAAGTTGTCAAACTCGATCGTGTTGTCATAGGGATTGAAAATTGCACTGAATGCAATTATCAGTCTAATGTTGACATGATTGGGTGAAATTGTTCCACATGACACAAAATGACGAAATTTGAATGATTGTTAGAACAGTCGAAAAATTATCGCAATAATTTTGTATATTTTCACAATTTATATTTAAAAACTGTCAATTTTACGTTTTTTGACATGAGGATTGCTAATTTAGACTCTAATTTAGCGTTGCTTTAGAGGGCGCTAATTACACTTTTTTTGGCTGAACTATAGGCAAAATAATAAAAAAAAATAATATGAAAAAGCGTTAAATTCTACAAAAAAAGTTACTCTTGTTTGATTTATGTAATTCAATCGGTTTTCGAATTGCTTATTTGCTTCTGAAAAATCCAATGAATTTAAATTTCACAATAGAAAATTTTATTCTCTAACTGTTTAACAATAACAAATTAAAAAACAAAAATAAAACACTTTGAAATAAATATTAAAAATGCCAACCATTTACTTCGATACACTTTATGATCCGGTTTTGCAAAGACCTCTTAATATCAAATCTAACACTCGCGAATTTAGCCGTAATTTAATTTTTTGTTTATTTTTCTTTTTTAAGTAGGCTTATGATACTTTTAGGCAGTATGTGTAGCAATAAAACTTGCCGTTCATACTATTTGATAATATTAAAAGTACCTAGTATTAAAAAAAGTATACCATTTTTAACAATTATTTAAACAATTAATAAGAAAAATATTTTTTTTCCAACAGTGAGATGCACCATATGATTTGAGTGTTGTTCAACCAAATTACAGTGGAACCGCTGCGGCTCGAACATATTCAGAATTATACCCAAATCGAAGGCAACCCAACTACAAATAATTTCGAAATCTTTACAACCGCTTAGGTGCGAATGAAATCCACTGAAATCAGATCAAAACCATCTTGCAAGAAACAACCAAAAAGTATAAAACTATTAATAAACGAAAACAACAATACATGATTGATGAAATATTGAGACTATTGATAGGTGTCTTGAAACTGATAAGTGTCTTGAAACTTATGGGAATTGATGATCAAGACCACCGTATTATGAAAAATTTGTATTGGCATCAATGTACAAACATACGATCTGGTCAGAATACGACGAAATCAGTGGAAATATGACGTAGAGTGAGGCAGGGGTGTATTTTATCGTCTCTAACTTTTAATATCTACTCTGAATTTATTTTCAAAGAAGCCTTAGATGAAGAAGCAGACATTAAAATCAATCTTACGATACGCAGACGAAATGAAAAAGAGTTGGAACCACTTATAAATAGGGTAACCGAAACATGTGTTGAATATGGGCTAAAGCTTAACACTTATACGAAAACACTTATGGCTGTCAGAAAAACAGAGTTACAACCAATAAACATCAGAGCGTATGGAGTAGAGTTAGAAAGAATCCACAGTATCACCTATTTGGGTAAAAGCCAGAGTTGCCTTCTATAACCTAAAGAAAATTCTGATTAATAGAGATATTACATTAAACCTTAAAATTAGATTAATACGCTGCTAAATATTCTTCACATCAGCTTACAGCAACGCTAATGAAAAAGCTTGAGCCTTTTCGAGATGTGGATTTACCGACGAATATTGCGGATAAGTTAGATTAAACAAATAAGTTGGGTCCTAAAAGTCAATATGGAGCTACAAAAGCTATTACTGTCTATGAAGAAGATGGCATTTTAATTCACTGCAGAGAATCCAGATATCAGTACTCGCCGATTAAGTCTATTAAGTCTGGCAACACTGAATAGAATAAGATGGGTCAATGTGGTCGCCAACATCTCTAGAAGATAGACACATTTAGAAGAAGAACACGGATAAGCCAACTGAACTGCCAACCAATTTAAATGGACCTCTGTATTTATATTTTTTTTCAAGAACATTCACACGATTTACCTACTAGAAAATATGCCTCTCGCCTTAAGACAAAACATGTGGTTTTTGTACGACGGAGAACCACCACATTATTCTTTAGAAGTTTGTCAATCCTTAAATAAACACTTTTCGCATCAATGGATTGGTCGTGGAAGTGAGTTTGCTTGACCACCAAGAAGCTCTGATTTCAATCCTTTGGATTTTTCAATTTGGTTGCAAATGAAGACATTAGTTTACAAAAGAAGCCGCGGATGTGATTAAAAATAATAGGCAGGGGTTATTTAATACTAAGGAATCTTTGCGAAACCGGATGATAAAGTGATAGAAGTAAGTAGTGGACATTTTGAACATTTACTTTAAATTTTTTTATTATTTACTTGTATTTGAAATTGTTACACATTTAGAGAATAATACAGTACTGCTGGAGCCAAATCTCCCTTTTAATTCAGTTTGTAAAACCAATGACAAAAACTTTGGTTGTACATTTTCAGAATTTGTATAATAATCTTTTTTTAAAACGATTTCTAAAGTGGAAAACGAAACATTAAACATTTGTTAATTAAACATATACACTGCGCGTCACAAAAAAGAGGCCACCTAAAATTTTTGCCATTTTTTAATTTTTACGAATTATACCACAAAGTTATTATCATTAATGTTAAAGAATATGATCTAAAGCAGTATGCAATCATTTTTTAAATAACAGATATTAAAAAATAACTTCTTCCCAAATAATGATTTTATTAATTACTATTTAACTGGGAATAAGCCACAATTAAAGATAAAAATACGTTTATTGACGTTTCAATTTCCACTTCGGAAATCGTTCTCAAAATACAAACATTTTTTTTACAAAACTCGAACAACTGTACACTACTGAAAGGTTTATGAAAAACAGAATACCCATATTCCAAAAAAATAAGGTAAAAATAACACGTGCATTATCCAAATTCGTAAAACTGATATCAATTCTGCAAACTTATTGCCCTTAATTGACCTGTAGGCACCGTTTGTCGGTACCTAAAAGACGCTAAAAGTGTTTCTGCATTGTGGGAATTTAGTTACAATAGAATAAATTGTATAAACTTAAGCTTTGAAAAGTTCTTACAAAATTCTAGGTGGCCTCTTTATCGTGAAGCGCAGTATATATTTAAATTGTGTCTATTTGTCGAGTAAATATTTGTCACTTCTGGAAATTTTATTCAATTTCAATCTTGCACTGATTTCTAATGTATTTATGACATTTTTTACGATTTGTTAAATTTGTGGGAGTAAAATTGTTATATAACCGGAGAAGGTAACTGTAGACATTTCCAAATAATACAAAAAGATCGATGATCTATGCCAACCCACAGAACAAAAACTCCCGTTCTATTTTTATACCCTTTTTATTATATTTAAATTGTCAAAAGAAAAAATAAACATGCCAAACATAAAAACAAACAGAAATATTATTGTTTTAAATAACAATTACAGTCATTATCTTTATTTAAATTTATTAATTGTATTTATGAGATAAAATAGACAAATGACCGTGATTTATGGACATTTAAAGATTCCTTAATATCAATTATATGACATTAATTAATTAACTTTGTTTATTGATGGTTTTAAGTGATAATAGGTATTTGAGATAGATATAAGTTGCTTGAGGGTTGTCCTTGATAAAGACAGTCTAAAGGAACCAGACGTAATGGTTAGCCTAGCTATATTAACAAATTGCATTCCTTCTGTCGTTTAAAAAATATTTAGGACTTACATGGCTCGGAGAATTATTAGAGCTGGGGCTTCTTTGCACAGTCACCAATGCCATACTATGGAAACGTCACTTTTATTCACAATTTATGTAAAAACTGCACTCTGAACAATTTCACAAATGATTCATGAGACACTACATTATTTTTGACAAACTACTGTCATCTACACCGACCCGAAATGTTTATAAAATGTTTTATTTGTATTTTTTATTCATTATTTAGGGATTGAACCACAAACAAAAACCACCTTTTATCTCATCTGTTTCTCGACAGCACTGCCATCTTGCACGAATTTGCTGAACGTTTCCTTAAGGAACTTTTACACGCAAAATCGCTTGAAAATGATGCTTTAAAAGAGTTTCATGCACAGTATTTTAAAAAAATTATATAATTTTTAAATAAAAGTTGTCTAAAACAGTCATTTTTCTTTTAGTACCTTTCTAGAATCCTTAAAATCAAAACGTATCACCCAATTTTATTGATCCAATGACCAATGTAAGAACAGCTTAAATCTATATCTGTCAATGTCAGTGTCAACATAACATAACCACAAATTTTGTCATTTATAAAAATAAATAATTTTAAACCAACTTTCAGTAAATAAATGAATCAAAATGAGCAAGATATTTACACCAACGAACCAAATACGGTTAACAAATGTTGCTGTTGTGAGAATGAAAAAAGCTGGAAAGAGATTCGAAATAGCATGTTATAGAAATAAAGTTGTTTCATGGCGCAATCAGGTGTAAGTAGAACATGCAATGATGTGTGTACCATTTTACTTAAATTACTTTACACACGGTTATTATTTTTAGAGAGAAAGATATAGATGAAGTTCTACAAATTCACTCTGTATTTACCAATGTTTCCAAAGGACAAGTTGCCAAAAAAGAAGACTTAATCAAAGCTTTTGGAACAGAGGATCATACTCAAATATGTAAGGAAATCTTATCAAAAGGAGAACTTCAAGTTTCTGATAAGGAAAGACAAAGTCAAACTGAGCAGCTCTTTAAAGATATAGCTACAACAGTTGCTGATAAATGTATAAATCCTGATATTAAAAGGCCATATCCTGTTACAATTATAGAGAAAGCCATGAAAGATGCACATTATTCTGTAAAGCCAAATCAGTCTGCTAAACAACAAGCTTTGCATGTGATAAAGTTGCTGAAAGAATCCATTCCTTTAGAAAGAGCTAAAATGAGATTGAAAGTTAACTTTAAGGGTAATTCTTCAATTATTACAATTTTCATCAAATTTTTATATATTATAATTTATAGGTAAAGCTGCTAAGAAGATTAAAGAAAAATTAACAAAAATAGAAAGTGCAGAAATTGAAAGTGAAGACAGGCAAGATGATGAGATTACAATAGTTTTTGTAGTCGATCCAGGTCATTTCAAGGATATAGACTCAATGGTTAAGTCAGAAAGCAAAGGTGGTGCCCTACTGGAAGTTATGGCATATAAAGAGATGGTATTGGGTGATGAACATTTGTAAATTTTTTCTCTGTAATGTGTTATTTATTTTCTGTTCAATAAATATTTTCTATATACAATTTGCAATGTCCATTTGTTGCTATAACATTACCATAATAATTTATACTGTTTGGTAAATCATTTGATGTTCTCTTACTATTTACAAACTGCCAAAAGTACTTAGGATTACTGCATAAATTATGATTTATTTCATTCAGTAAGTATTTTAACATTGATTTGATAAAATCACATAATCCTCTTACAGCAGTGGTGCACCAAACTCCCCCCTCCCCCGGCACTATGCTGACACTGTTACTCACAAATTTTAAAGACTCAAAATGGAGGTAGCCCAACCAAAACCCTCCCCCACAGGAAAATTCTAGGTGCACCACAGGATTACGGGAAGCCAAATAATTTTTATGTGCAATGGCATTAAACCATTTAGGATAACTTGAAATTCTAAATCTTTTCACTGGTACAGACAGTAATAATGACAATAAGTATGCTGTAAAATACTGTCAGAGCATCATCAACATTTGATAAATTCAAATAGTATTCCCAATGTATTATTGAAAGATAGTTATTGAGACCTTCATAGTTTGCGTTTACAAAATCATGATAAAATGCAGTATATTTTAATGACTTACCTTGAAGTTCACATAAATAAGTGTAACTTATGTGATAACTATTTTTAAAAATAGGATTTGAAGCTTTTGTAAATACTAAGTCTAAAAACATTTCTTTCATTTGGAAAAAATTGAAGAAACTATAAAACTCAGCTAAATACAATGCATGTGAGTGAACCTTGAGGACAATTCACCAGGACACCTGATTCATCGTTATCCAATGAAGTTTCAGAAAGATTGAATCTCCGAATATTATGTCTTATAATGATTATACCTTGATATATCCTTGACTGATAAACAGTGTTATTCATATATTCATTCTACGGATTTTGGGGGAATATATACCCCTTCCCCCCAATTATAAAATTTTCTTTACCAAATGAACATAAAAGAAAAAGTTGTTCAAAAGATTTGTACAGGAGTTTCATCACAGTTTCCTTAATGTAGTCTTTAATCAAAATACCTCCTCTTGACTTATAACTAGTATCATGATCACATCTAAAAGTTCTATATAAAGGTATTTTAATTTCACAATATAAAATATCCTCATGTAAACAAGATTAAATTTTTGCATGATGTTCTTTTAATAGGGATGAAATGAGTTTTTGCCTTCTCTTGAATGATTCAATTGTTGGTACACCATTTTTTTTATGGCAATGTCTGTCTAGCCTTTATTTTGTCTGTCATTTAAATTTTTTCCAATCTTTACTGAACAATGCCTTTGTATATTTGTTTAATCACTATTTTTATTTTGATTGTTGAGTTCTGTAGTCTTTGTTATTCTTTAAAATGTCTAACAACGCTATTATTGGAAAAATAGCTCTAGAAGTACCTGTGTTCTTTCCTACTCAAATAACTTTCACTAAATTCCCTTCATCTTTTCCAATTTACTTCATAAGGCCTATCTTATCTAATATCTTCCAATATTCAAAGAATTGAATTCAGTCATATTGAATGACATAACATTGTTAGATTTTACATTCTCTCATTTATTTCCATAAATATTTCTTCAAATGGCAAACCTGGGGCATTGGAGTTACATTAATAGTCTTCCTTGGATCACAAATCTGATTATTATTTTCATGTAAGGATTTTTTATTGGCACATTTAAGTTTCTCTACTTCATTCCTTAAATCTTCAACAATGGACTTCAAAATTGGTATTAACAGTAAACCTTGCTCACAATCCTCACAGATATATTTTAGTTTCCTAGTATCTGCTGCCAATTGAAGAAATCTTAACTTCTGTAACTGTTACACTGGTACAGAATCTATATTTTTGTAGTATGTATATCACTACTACTACCAACAGAGGGCAATTTTGTTAAGACTCCTGTTTTTCTCTTCAATCTACAACTCTCTGATATGAAGATATAAAAGCGAAATATTTCATCTCAAAACTTTTAGAGAGAAAGGAGTGTTCATGCCTTCTGGTGTGTACTTCGCCACTTTTTATAAAATATATTATGGAAATGTGTTTGTGGAAGACAGAGGTTGTTGAATTATAAAAAAAAACAAATTTTGCAGGAAAACTATATAATTATATATAATCAATTCTAACAAGATTACATAAACTAACATCTTAAAAATCAAAACAAGTAAATAGGTTTTCACGTTTTGTGCTTTCAGTTTAATGCAGAACAAAAAATACTTCGTTCTTTGTATAAAATACACAACCAATACTTTCAATGATTTTCGATCAATATACTGTTTTGATTATTGTTTTCTTCGTCGCTAAAATATAAACGGCCAAATTAATTTAGGACTATTTTACGATATTATTCCAGAGATTCGTATAATAATACACCAATGCGGAATTTGGACTACATTAAATGATAGTGGCAGAATCTTTATGGCATCTCAAGTAAACAATTTCTTTAGGAAATTCCTGTTTATCCATGGGGTTGATTCGCACAAATGCTGTGTATAACAAAAAAAATAAGGTTTCACTTTAAGCTTTAATTTATGATTTTATTACACTTTTTGGCAGTAGTGTGTCATTTATTTCTGTCTCTTTGATTGGAAAACATGTTTCTTAATAAACTTAATAATATAGCAAATAACATGTTATCTGATTCTTTAGGTATTCTAGAAATTCATTCACATGATACAAGCCTGCTTTGTGGGTCACTTGTCCCCTTGGTGCAAAGCTCTATTTCATCACCACATTTGTCTTCATTTTCTAGTAGGAATTTTCCTAAGATGTCTTTATCTCTCCTTCAGGAACTGTGACATTGGAACACTATTGGATGAAATCAGTTGTTACAATGAGAGATTAAGTTGAAAAATAGAACTGAAATGACCATAAACTTACAATGAAAACTAGAAAAAAACTAATGATACTATACCAATACAGTAGTGATTGATCAATCATATTTTCATTCAATATTGACAAAAAATTTAATTTTAATTCAGATTGAGATGCCACAAAGAACACATTTTTGCCATTTTATTGGAAATAAACAGTAAACAGATCTTTATGTCAAAGACCAAACTATCATTCCATTTCTACTTAATAAATATTCGATAATTACATATAAAATTTATTATAAAATTGTAGTTTAACATCAAGCTGTCAAAACAGACACAGCAGGAAGCCGATCTTAATATAAAAAATATACTAATTACTGTGCTTGGATTTTCTCATCTTGTTTAGGTATATAAATGCTCTCGGCTCGTTGGTCGTGTTTAGCTGCTATTCTAGAAGCTGTAAACAGGAAGTCAGACAGTCGGTTGAGATAAATTAGAGCTTCTTTATCTAAACTACCTTTTCGTACTAATGGCACAATTACTCTTTCAGTTTTTCTGCAAATAGCTCTAGCTACATGTAATGAGGCACTTGCTATACCTCCACCCTAAAACATACAGTGTGTATTCAGAAAACAATAGATTGCAAATAGAGTTAGAAGATGGTAAACAAATATCAAAAGAACAATTTTGATTCCAAAAAGGAAAATCAGCAATTAATGCTATAAAAATGGACAGTAATGAACAGCAAAAGAAAATGGGCAAATGTAGTAATGCTCGATATTAAAAATGTTTTTAATAGAGCAAATTAGCTGTGATAATGGAAAGAAAGACAGGAATATACCTACATATCTAACAAACATTCTATATAACTATCTACCAAATAGAAAAATAAGTGTTGACAAAAATCTCTACACTTTGCATTTGAGTCAATCTTTATTCTTACTTGAGATGTATTTACATTAAATTACTAAAGACAAATTTTTCCTCAAAATTTACAGAAAATTATAAAATAACATAAAGGAACCAGATTTTAACCATGTGCCATACTTACTGGGATTATATACTGCTCAGGAGGAGGTAATTGTTTAGAATATTCTTGGATCCAGTCCTCTAATTCTTTGGTATAAACTGTAGGAATTACAGATTTATTGGTAGTTGACTTGGAAATGGCTGTACTAATATCTATAATTATTGTTTGAACTCTTTTTAACTTATCTGTATATCGCTGTTCCGATTCATGACCATGTTCACGAGCTAAGCTGCAAAGAAATTGATCAATAAAATATATAAACATCAACTTTATCAATATTTGTTGTTTTCAATTTAGGTAAAAACTTTCGCCGGAAGGTATTGTAAAGATAGAATAGACCTATAAGTAGTGAAATAACGTTACCCCAGATAACTCAAAAGCTCTTCCGTTGCCCCTATGGCATTAAAAATTTCATTATCCTTATCCATAACTTCCCCGTTTATAGTCTTCGAAGTACCATTGTCCCCCAGTCTACTGAAATTTTGAGGAATTGTCAGGATTGGGGCATCTTTATCCTGTGATTTTGATCTACAAATACCTATTAATGCAACATTTAGCTCAGTTTAAATTTACTTACTCGTTCTTGTTGCAATAGGTTCTAACATAATTCAACCGACGATAAGTTATAAGTCTTCTAAGAACCATAATTGTTGAATAAAAAATTTACCTAATTTTAAATTCCGAAAATTTTACTCTCATAATTTGACGTATTACAAATATTAATTCTTCTTTTTTATTTTTTTGGTAAATTAATGCCTGCATTTAATTGTCTTACAGCGCAAAATGAGTTAAATATTCATTCTAAACAGTTTATTTTAATTATAATTTGCATGTATGTGTTTTTAATTTTCATTAATACAGAAATAAAATGTAAAGAATAGTAAATTTATAATAGAAAATAAAAATGAATTCTTAAAAATTAGTGCAAAATAAATCACGAAACATTTTCTGATCCTTCCAATCACATCAACGTCTGCTCATGGAGTTTCAAAAATATTCTTTTGGATTTCGCAAGATTTGCTAATCTCGCGTTTGTTAGTTAGTGTGCGAACATACGTCTGTAAAAAGAAATTATTGTTAATTAAGTGTACATTCGGATTCGGAGTACTGAACAATACTGAATTGGATATTTGAATTTTGAATATCTGGAATTCACTGGCTTAAAGCTGGCAAATTGCCTAAGTTCAGAGCCATAAGAGAAAAGAAGAAGAAGAATTATCTCGCTTTTGCCGAGGCCGAGCATAACCTCACATTATAACAACAAATTAAGATTTCATTTATGGCTGGAATTATTCGAAAATTTTCAACGTCGACTAATAACAGTCCTATAGAGTTATACAAGTATTTAATACGACAGTGTAGAAAGTTACCTAGTGGCCCCCGAGAGCATTATCAATTTATGATTCGTCAAGTAAGTACTTGAAATAAACTAAGTTAATTAAAAGTACTAGATCCTATTAACTTTGAATAAATCTGGGTGTTCTTTAATGTTTTGGTTTTGGTGTAAATTATATTACTCATTTACTTATTTTAGAGCTACAAGCAGCATATCAATGAGCAAGATAGTGAGAGAATCAAACAAATTATAAGTAGAGCTTATGAAGATGCAGACTGGATTCTAAAAAAGGTAAAATTAAAAATGTGTGTAATGCTATTTTAACATTAATTTATTTTAGTACCTAGGTAAAAGCAATTAAGCAAAATGTTTCCAGTACCATTAGCCACAGGTAGTGAACAGATCCCAGTCTCAGTTTTTTGGGAAACAGTCTTGCTGTATCACAACAGACCATATTTAGTGAACAAATTAGTTACAGCCATTACTAAGATTGCTTTGTATAAAATCGATTGCAAGGGTAGTTTCGGTCATATCAGTGAATTATTTACTCTAACTAGTATATTATATGAACGAAGAAAACTGAAAGAATTATCAAAAGAAACTATAAATGATGATTTTATCAAAAGTTTTGTTGAGTGTTATGATAAAAGCTTTAAGTTGGATAAAATAAATGAAGAAACCTTTCTTGATAATTTCAGTGGAGTTTATATATCAGTTCAGGTTTTAATATCAAGAAGAAGTACTGATCATAAAGTTTTAGAATTGGCCATCTTCGATAAAGATACCAATTCAGCTGTGTTTTTAACAGCTTATGAAAATTCCGAAGATATGATAACACCAAATTTTCCGTATGAATTTAATTGGAAACATGGATGTTTTGGGTAAGAACTTAATTAGTGTTAAGGTTAAATTTAAAATTATGACCTTTATCTAACAGCATCTTTGTTAAAGTACAAAGTGTTTCTTTAATGTGTGTAAATATAATAATAAACTAACATTTTTAATGTTCCCACAATAACAGACAAATAAAAAATAACAAATGAAGAAGTGATATATTATCTTAAATATTATGTTTATCACAAAATAAAATTTACATTTTATAATTGTTGTAAATGTTTCGATATCCACTTTGGAAATTGTTTTCAAAAAATATTATTTTAAATTAGGGAGGTTTTATTATTATAACCAAAGTCGTTTGGCAGTTATGTTTTCAATGTAACAGGTGGCTTACCTGGTATTAACCTTGTAGGCAAAAATAGAATGAACATATAGATCCTAGTTCTAAAATCTTAAAAAACGTAATACATATCTTATTTTTAATGTGAAGATTGAGGCTATCTTGATTAGCACAGGTTAGTAGTATGAAGTTGAGTCTGGGATAACTGCAATTGAATGTCAGGTTCTGCATTCAGTTGAGGTCTATATTTTGTTTTAGTGGCTACATAGACAGAGAATGCTGCTTCACATAAGTATGTTGTTCCAAAAGGGAGAAGAATAATTTTCACTTTATATGACAAAATTTTAAATTCATCTTTGAGTTGACACCAAAAATCTACTAACTAAACAGGACTCCATCCAAAGCATTTTCGTTAACTGTTTTTAAATGGTAGCTCATAGTTTTTGGGCATGTGTCAGAACTGATATTCACAGAAGAAGAAGGCAGTTTGTTGAACACTTCTGGCGCATTTGGCATCACTAACTCTTCCACAGACTCTTCAGCCTGTCGAATTATTTCGACATCAATAATCACTTCAACACTGAAATTGAAAAATTGTATCATCAAAATCTGGTTCTGGATAATCACAATATCCATATTTTAACACTTTCAGCGCCCACGCCGTGGCATTTTGGTAATTGTTAACGATTTGTAAAAGTGCACAGGGTTCGGAGTTTTGTGTACTTACTGTATTTATAGAAAAGAGGTGTGCATCGAAAATATATCTCTTTAGGTGTGGATGGACATAAAATTGGACTTCGAGACCTTGAAATGCTTTATTTAGCATAATGTTCTGTTTTTATCAAGGTGATAAGGCAGTGATCGCAAGTGTTCTCCTCAGCATATTGCATCAACAATTTAATTATCAGCGGACAGACAGTATGGCAGTATTTCAGAACATTCCGTTCACGGAACAACGAAGTCTAGAGGTGTTTATTTTTGCATTTGTATAATTTTTATGTTTATACTTCAATAATAAAAACTTATTAGAATAAATTTTTCTACAAAATGCTAATGACATTACCAATACGTCATTGGGCCCTGCATCATAAATGTTTCGGTTTATGCCTCAATCCAAAATAGCATTTGTTTGCTAGGATTATTCTTCGCTTGATTTCTTAAGAAGTTTTAAGAAATATAGGAATATTTTATAAAATTCGGATTCAGATGTCTTTTCTAAACAAGCTAAAGCTTTCTAAATAATGATGCAGTTCAAATATTTACACATATTAATAATACCCTTGGGATAGTGCATTTTATTTTTGATGTTATGTGTAACTTTTAGACTCAATCTTCAGAATTTTGAAGACGCAGATACCAGTAAAGGTGAGTGGCTAGCTTTTACCTTGTTTCCAAAGCTTCTTAAATGGTCAGAAGCTGATGATAGTAAAAATACTATAAGATCCCTATCATTAGTGGCTCTAGATGAATACTGTGTCATATATGAACGATTGAAAAGAACTTACGTCAAAGATTTGCTAAAGGTAATATTTTTTTGTAAAGTATGCATACAATAACTTTTACAGATGATAGGGCAATTACTTGTCCTTGAAAATAATACTTATAATTTTATCTTAGCTATTTAACTAATTAATACTGGATTTAAATTTAATTTCTTCATTATAACAGAACTTTTGTAAGTAATTTCTCCTCCACAAGATAATTTGATCTTTTCCTATAAGATCACTGTTCCTGCTTTTTTTATTTGCCCCAATGTTCGCAATAAAACAGGTCGTGATATTTTGGGTATTGAATAATCAGAATTTGTGTATCGGAAATGTCTTGTGTTGATATGTTTTGTAGGTCGATTATGTTCCTGATTGTGAGTGAATTAGCAGTTTGATTATGCACCCTTCGCGTCATAAAAAATTGGTACAACTCTTTTAATCAAAAATGTGTTTTTTAAGTTGTGTACGTTGATCTTGTCACATGTGTCATTCTAATTTTTTAGGGCCTCGTTGCCAGTTAAACGAAAATATTATATGAAACTAGCTAAAAGCAGGGTTGTGTGACAGACCGCCCGTTTTGAATATACTAAAACCATCGAGCAAAAAGACAAAAGATGGAATCTAATCCTTATGAAAAGGAGACCAAAAAAGTGGCCTCTGATGGCGAACATATCCGGAAATGCGAATGCGCCAAATTTAAATTTTCCGACACTTATTAACAGTAACTATATAATATTTTTCATAATGTGTCTTAGACGAGAAAGTTTTAATTAATTATTAACGGTAATAGTCTAAAATGCGACACAATTGTTAAAAAACTTCAATATAAATAAGATTTCATGTGACATTTTGGGACAAACAATAACATAACCCAACTAAATTTGATGTCAAACAAGGAGTGAGACTCTCATTCCTTGTTTAATGTGGCCTCTAAAGATCGCACTTCCTGTCTAACAATATTTTTGCCTCCACTACCTTTACATTCCCTCTTTTGTCTTTTTGCTCGATGACTAAAACTAAAACATTATCGAGCATTCTCGATCAGTCAGTCACATTAAATTTGTTTAAACATGCAGCCTAAAAAATTCTCATAATAATTTTGTAATTTTCCATCATCTCAATGAAGTACCCATACATTGATTTGTTTTATAACAATTTATGAAAATATTTCAATTCAAAAATAATAACAGATAATCAATCTAGACATAACTTCAAATTATTATAATAAAACATTACAGTGAGATTTGGATTGTGACTGTCACGTTTTGAAAAGCGTGTTTTCGCCCCGAATATTTTATAGGTTATAATCTACGTAGGATAAAGTATAATGTTAGTTTTTCACATTTTATATCGTTCTTGTAATAAATAATAAATTAATTTTGGTAGTTTGCCTGTTACAAAACTTATTGACACAGAATACAGTTCGTGGTTGGTAGGTAAGTGAAGTATAAAATTACAGTAGATGCATTCCAATGTTCCCTGTGCCAATACCCTAGGTTTAAAGATCCTTCAAACATTTTGGATATTAACTCAACCCTATTTTTGAATATTTAATCTATTAGATACGGATTTTTGTTGTTAATGATAAAAATAATACCTATCTAAAAATTTTATACATTTTGAACTTTTTTTTTGTTATTTAGATTTTGTACAATTCCGTTATCTGTGATAGCAACAACGAATTGATTCACGAACCATTGTGTCTAGTCTGAACACAGGTTTACATTGGAAAAAAAAGTGTACCAGTTTTATATGACGATAAGTGTACCAATAACTTTGGAATATCTTTAAAATCCCAATGCTTTGTGGATTTTTTTCTTTCAACCTTCCTTTTTCTTTTTTGTCGTGAAGGTTTATTGTGGTAATTGTATGTCTACTAATATATCAATAGAACTGTAACCATGATCTTCAAAACTAGTTTTTCTTTGATTCTCTTCACCTTCAGAGTTCTTTTTTGTGTGTTATTCGGTTTATCCCAATTCGACGGTCTGGTAAAATCATTCTATGAATTGCATCAATATGTGTTGAATATAATTATATTGTTACCATTCATGTATGCCATTAAATAAATATATTTTTAGGACTGGATAGATAAGGCCAAAACTGACCCCCAAAAATACATCTTCGAAGATATTGCTATATCCGCTTATCTCATTTGTTTGTGGCAAAATTACCCTAAGGAGGAAATCAACTTTGTTGATTGTGGCTGCGGAAATGGCCTCTTGGTATATATATTAAATCAAGAAGGCTTTAAAGGTTATGGCATTGACATCAGGAAGAGAGCTATCTGGGATATATATCCAAAAGAAACCAGATTAGAGGTTAGTAATTTATTTATTAATTTAACGTAATAGATTTTTCACAAATACGGTATAGTTGTACTTCACATGGTCGGTACTTTGTAATTCTAAATTGTTTAAATTATCATACCATATTGTTCTTGGTCTGCCAATACTTCTTCGCCCATTTGGTGACTTATGTCGTGCTATTCGCACTATCCTATTCTCTGCCATTCTACTAATGTGTTCGTTCCACTCCTGTTTCCGTTTTTTTACCCATACATTTATGTCTTCTATGTTACATGCTGTTATGTTTTCGCTTCTCTCCCTATCCAACAGACTTTTCCCCTGATATTCGTCGGAGTATTTTCATCTCTGTTGTTTCTAGTAGTCGTCTAATTTTAGATGTGTCAGGTCTTGTCTCCGCCGTGTTAATATAGGTCTACTTGCTGCTCTATAGATTCTTGTTTTTGTGTTTTGTCTTAGGTGTCTTTGTTCTTCCAGATTGTGTCATTTTAAGCTTTGTTATCGTACTACTTCTTCAACATCTCCGTAACTAGTTATATCAATTCCCAGATATCTAAACCTTGCTTCCTGCTTTATTATTTTTCCATCAATTTCGATTTTACATCGTAGTGTAATATATATCATAGTTTATTCTGCTGCTAGTATCATATTATTACAACTATTTTTTAGGTAGGAACTGTAACTCCAGACTCATCTTTTCCTGATGCTACGTGGCTTATCGGCAATCACTCAGACGAATTGACACCATGGCTACCAGTGATAGCACTTAAGCATTCAAGAAAAACAAACGTTTTTGTCATCCCGTGTTGCCCGTACGACTTTAGCGGTGAAAAGTATGTAAGGAAGAACACTAAAGTCAGTGTATACGCAGATTATTTGATCTACATTCAGGATATTTTTCAAAAATGCCAGTTTCAAGTCAGTGTGGATAAATTGAGAATACCGTCGACTAAAAAAATTTGTTTAGTTGGATTAAACAGTTGTTCAACTGATGAAGAAGTTATGAAGGTTCTTGAAGACGTACAACCTTTTATTGAATCTAAAATGGCGAGCGGATTTACTGCTAGACCTAACACAGAAGCTGTTAGAAACTGTACACAGCTGAAACGGGAACTTACCGATCGGTTAATTTCTTTAATAGTCAATTTTTTGCTAAAGGAAGAAGATCTGGTATTGAAGAAAGATGGACAACTCTGGAACAAAGGTCTCACCTATCCAATCGCAGATTTAACATCGATTATATCTAGCGAGGACTTAAAAGCCTTAAAGCTACAGTGTGGTGGATTGCAAACCTTGATGAAAAACTTCAGATATATATTCGAAGTACATAAAGGGACAGTCACTTTGCGCCTTCCAACAACTTATGACATAACTAAAGAAAGGTATAGGACAAAGCCTTGTTGGTTTCAAAAGAACCATCCTCAGGGTTGTTTTAATACAGCTGAAGATTGTAGTTATAAGCATTCTGTACCATAATATATTTTTTTAAAATGCGTTTAATTTTTTATCCATTTATTGCCTTATCCCTTTCTCATTGATATGTTTCAGGGTTGGACTGGCTAAAAAAATGGCGCCAACCTTAACTCTAAATAGAAGACTCCAGGGTCTTTTTTAAAAGAGAAAAAAAGGGTTCAGTAGGCGGTATTGTAGACTAGCGCAAATAACAATATTTATATTTTATATTTGATCTGAATTTGGCAGGTTTATCATAAATAAACAACGTATGCTTTGTTAACACGTTAACAGGTGGCGTATCAAGCTTCACGCTAGTCTACAGTACCGCCTACTGTTCCAGTTTTTTTTTTCTTAATGATCACGTGCACAACTGACTGATAGATATGGCGACCTATTCTTTTAAAGTTTGAAATGGAGTGCTCTCTCTAAAGCGCTGTCAAGCAGTACCGGTTTAACACACTCTGCCGCCCGGTGCTGATACGGATGCCGCGCCAAGGCTCAAAATGTTTCTTTTGAAACTTTATTTCAATTCAACAAAACATATTTTGAATATAAGTTTATTAAAATAAGGAAAACAATTTTTTGATGACTTTTTTTATTTCAAAGTTAAATGAATACTAACAAAATACAAGAAATAAATTAAGGGCGAACTTAAAAAGTAAAATAAAAATATACATAATAACATTCAAACAGGTAACATCAGGTAGGTAATCAAATACCTTTACTCTTGAAAAGCTTGTTTCCCTGTTTTTCTGAAGCGAAGCTTTCGATGATATCATTTATATTTAATTCATTATCAGGTCCTCGTTAATGGATAAAACTGCTAAGGGGTTCAAATTTTCTTGGGAAATTGCATTTCTTAAGTAGGTCTTTACCCTTTTTACTGTCAAAAGAAAGCGTTCGCTACTTGCATTTGTGACCATTATAGAGAAAAAAATACACAGGCAAATATTAACGTTTGGAAATTAAGATATTAATTTATTTTCGTATAAAACCTGTACCAATTCTAAAGAGTGTCTATTTTTAATTCAGGAAGAGACGTTAACAAATGCTTTAAATGAACACATTCTTGGGTAAATTACTCGTCCAAATCCTCCTTGTACTTTTGGTGTAATTCGGTTGCTGATCTGAAAATATCATCATCTTCCGTAGTTTTTATTTTAAACCAAATTCAAATGCTCTTGATCAAGATTGTATATTGTACCGTTTTTAAATAAAACGAGCGGTTCGAATTTATATAAATATATTTATTTATAACTTTACAGTTCGGTACTATCTTATCAACTAAACTACCTCAATTATCGTTACTTATATATATACAAATTATAATGTTCCAGAAAATTCGGGTGTGCCCACCTCTAATTCGGTCGTCGAAAGCCCATCGAAGACGTGCGCTATTGACATGCCAACTCTTCGAACTTTCTAGAATTATCGTTCTAAGAATTGTGACATCTGAGATCGGCTATTTCGTTACAATATTATAAAAACATATCATTGTGTTCGCATTTTTCTTTTGCATCCGAATTATTTTCTCCTAATTGCAATTTTTTTGATAATTCTCTTCTCAGCATAATTTTCGTTTCCTGTTAATAACATTCATAATGCCTCGTAGTGGTCAAAACGATCACTTAAAAATCAAAGTAATCTGCTAAAGGTGATAACAGATGAGCGGTTGTACTTAAATCCATATTTTCCTTTTGTGCTGCCTCATTAACCCTTTGTAAAACGTCAAGCCAGAATGATAAAATTATTCCGTTTTCCAAAAAATCAAGTTTTTCCGATAGAGCCTCTGCTTCAACTGTTACTACATTTTTCTCATTTATGTCCATTGACATTTCAATCAAACATGTTTTAATCAAACCGTAATTGCTTTTTAACGTTTTTACGGCATCGAATCGAGAAAACCAACGGGTTGTATTCACTCTTTTAGGTAACAGTGTCTACCCCGACTCAGGCGAATCCTTCACTGCACCAAACAATAACTCTCACCTGTATGTAGACACGGAGAAAAAATTACAGATAGCTTGTACCAACATAAAAAAGATGTTGCTTCCAAACAACAATCTGCTGCATTTTGGACAACCACATTTAAGGAGTAAGTAACACACCGCACAAAGTCACTGAAAACTTTAATACGTGCTAGCAAATCAGAATACTTGCTTGCCACTCATATTACTGGCATTGTCGTGAGACTGGCCTCTACAGTTATCTAATTTCAAAGACTAACATCCCAATAACTGTTTCCTCAAGTTCTTGTGAGCTATGGAAAGTGTTTTTTTATAAAATTCTACGAATCTTTCCACGGGATTCCCTTTATTGTTACAATATCTCATAATCACTGTAAGTTGGTCATGGTGTGGTATGTCAGGTGTTGAATCTACACTTATAGAATAGTATTTGTTAGCCTTAATTTGCCTAACAATTTCATCAATGACTCGATTGGACAAAATATTCACTAATTCATCACATATTATATCTTTTTATAGATATGACGTTGTGTCCTTACCTAAAGCTCGTTTATTAATATCGTCGGCTTAAGATGCAAATGGCCTAAATCCACTTTTAGCTCAAATTAACATTTTAGGTTGGTTGGGTTCATAAAAATTAACCGCGTCGACTTAAATATGCCTAACAACCGAAATGTCAAAAATGCCGCGACAAAATACCAGTCGAAACTCGCCTATCTCCGGCTTGATTTTCAACAATACGCAGTTGGCCTAACTCCCAGTGTGTAATGGTAATAACAGGTGAAACGTTGTTGTTCTTAATTTTATGTGCATAAAACAATATCTGAGGTAAGTATCAATAATTTTTTAATGCTTTAATTACCTTTGACGTTCAAATTATCTAGAGAATATAAATTTAGTATTTAATTTTTGTGCGTTCTTGGGTAAATCTGATGTTAAAATATCGTGTTGGAGTTAGGCAATTTTCATTTTATATTTACTTAGTTTGGATAGGAGATAGGCCATTATAGTTTCGATGATAAACCACATAGGTACCTACCTTTAATATTTTTTTCCCTATAATAACATTCTGAATTTTTGCTTAGCTAGGTACATAAAAGTATACTTTCTAATTAACGCTGTATATTTCAGAATGAATCCGCAATCCCGTGCGATGAAAATGCTTTTATTGGCTAAGCAAAACATCCAGGAAAAGCCCAACAGACAAAGCGATGCCGAAAGCGATGTAACAAGAGATTTGTTAACATTTTGTGATACTTTTGATCAAGATAAGGATTTATCTACACTCTTAACTGATAGTACTAATCTAGCAAGCTCCTCAGCATCTAATCACCACTTATTAGCTGACGACAATTTAATTACTGATGATGATTTGGCAGTGATTCTGAAGTCTCCAAAATAGATTCATGTGATCGAATATATTTATTACTAGTAGCACTTGAACTAGGACCAGGTTGGTAAATATTTGTAGTGTCGTCTTCTTGATTTTTATCCGTTGTAAAAAATGCGTTCATTTTGGGTATACCTTTCAAAATTTTATTTTGACATTCCTGCTTTTCTTGTTTCTTTTTATACCTCTTACCGTATGTAGTTTAGTTTTACGAGTACGAGGTACAAACGCGGTGTTCGCACACTATTTTTAACACGTTGCCTGCCGTCTCGGTATATGTGACCGAGAAAAAAATTGCTGTGCAAGCCAGCGAGGTCTATTTGACCAAGAATTTTAACGTAACTGTGGTGCCGTCTTTTGGTAATTTTGGTGCCGATGGTAATTTTTTCGACCATATAGCAGAAATGGCATTGGCGTGAACGGAAAGTATTACAAATTCCTCCAAGGCAAGCAACGTGTTAAAAGCTGTGAAATGATATAATTTTACGGCGGCATGTTTGTACGTTATCCGACATTTATATAACATAAACTGTACACCGTGCATAAAATATATACGTCGACGTTAATAATAATTATTTATGAATTGTTAAGTTTCAAAGTTAATAATAAAACCCAAATTTTTTTTTATTATTATATAATGTGTATTTGTATGCAAATTTTATTTTACCATAACCTTCAACCGCCCGGTGCTACAACTCCGAAAAGACCCATGATGAAAATAAAAATGCGTGACATGGAGCAAACATGTTTTATTTTTATTTAAAATGCCTCCTTATAAACAATTTAACAAAAAATTACATGGTAGCTTTGTACATTAATAATACTGTCGACAAAAACACATCCATTCAGCTTCAAAAGACGAACACAGTAGAAATATAAAGCTTAGAACACAGTAAGTACTTCCATGATTACAAGCTCATCTTATATAATCTCAAATTATTGAGATTTTACGTATTATGTGGAGTTTGCAACTCACTTGGGAAACGTTTATCAACTTTTAGTTAGATATATCCCGAAACTATTATTTCCACAGTGTGTGGTATTTGTTCATAGATTTTTAGGTTTTTAAATATTTAGTTACCTAGGTGATTCTAATCTGTAGTAAGAACGCACCTTACAATATGGAAACTAACATCCAAGTCGATTTTTTTTAGGTTAGTGATGGTTTTTTGTATTCATTCGAGATCTGCTCGATAACAACATTGGTGGATATGTCCAAATTGATTCATTATTTGTGGGTTTATATTTGACACATACACGTGCTAGCATGACGATTATATTTATTTTACTACAAGTATAATATAACAATAGTATGTAGTAAGAGTATGAAAATATAAAAAGCATTTCTATACACTATCCAAAAAAGGCAATGATTTCACTAGTTAATAACATATCATATAGATAGCGTCTAATTTTAATAGTTTCAATGTCACCTCCAAATGGAGTGCGATATGAACTGAAAAGATCCAACCAAAAATATGCAAGCTTTTCGATTAAAGGCATATGTTTTCGACTATCCATCAAACATACGAAGCAGCCTTAATCAAAGTAAAATTAGGCTGTATGCGCACATAACCTCCACATGCTAGGAAAACGATCTACTCCAAGCTGCAACAGTTGAGCTCCATATAAAATAATCTGAAAACATGAATTCTTCAGTGTTATACCTTCAGAACTTGAATGGATAGCTGAACTAGATTCAAAGATGTAATTTGGCACTAAAAACCGATAGTGAGATACGAGACAAATAAACTACTATACTTTTGTACATGTATGTCGAATAAAGATAACAGGAACTATAGTTCCGGCGTATATAAACTGACTTGTGGTATATGTTCAAAAATATATATAGGCCAGACAGACAGAAGTTTCCAAAAACGTATAAGTGGACACAAACAAGTTTCTCAAAAGAAAAATATCACGTTTTTTAGTTGCTCTTACTATAAATATCCAACAAGGTGTTTGTTTCATGTTCACATAATTATATAAAATGTATGTTCAATAAATAGGGCCGATTTTATGTAGGGAAAGGTTGTTAGTATTCAAAATTAAATTATTGGAAAGTACTTATAGCATTCTTATTACTTTTCACATCTTTTTGTCAACAGGAGTAGTGAATTCATGCAATAAAACAATTTTACGAAATGAATATAATGTAAATAAAATTATAAAGGAAAATGATTGTACACAAAAGATTCAGGTATGTATAGTGGTATGTGCAAATAGTTTCTATTCGCGGTCAGTCAATGAGTAGAGACGCCACAGCAATTGACGTAGCGCCGCAAAAAACTAGTATATAGGGAGAAAAATATATATTATTGGTCATTTTCCTTTTTATTATATTCTCCCATGTCCCTTTTAATGCTGAACTCTCATTTCGTCATCACTTTTTCTGTATTTGTTGCACTTTTCGACTGCAGTGTTGCTCGGACGGATCGTTAGGCAAATATACTACATAAATAAAAGAACATTTTTTAAATTTGACCCAAAAATTGTCTAGAATGCATTTCTCAGCACGCGATTGTTCTTAGTGAGGTGGGTCAATGAAAGATGAGACCTGTTGATAGATATTTGTTATTCTAGAAAAGAGGGGAGTTTTTTTATCTTAATACACCTTAATGTGTTTAAGCTATGAAAATATTATACCGGAATATTAAAAAAATGTACCAAGTTGATGAGTATATGGACGGCGGGGTTGATCAAAACACGGGGTAGATTTACCAGAAACATTTAATAAGAACGAAGAAACCAAATGTATAATTTTGCTTTCTATATGTTTCTATACTCCGATTTTTTAAGGTCTTACGAATCCATAAATAGGCGTCACCAAGTAATGAGACACTCTCACCCTTCACCGACTCTAGACACCCGAGAATTCCAATTTAAAGGCGTAGATCCATTGTTATTTTTATTGCACACATCTGAAATACTTTTTTCTCTAGTTTATCTCGAATTATGAAGCTAGTAAACTACTCACTTCGAAATGGGTCTGCCAGCCCACTGACTCATCAATTTTGGGTTTTATATGTGGATTATAACCCGCGAGAGAAAAATAGGTCCACGCCTATGATTAGATAGATACAAATATCCTCAATGTTGGACTAACTATTCTTCTTTGCTAAAGTATTTGAGTAATTATACTAAAATATCAACGATTTAAGCTTTAAAATTCTGTGTTTTTGCGAAAAAGAATAATTTTTGAGATCATTGTTACACTTATGCATCTTTAGTGTAGTAATTCGATAGAAAATTTATAAATAAGGTACTAAGGTCCAAACTACATCTCTTTTATAATGTTCATAGCAGACAACGATTATCTTGAGGTCGCCGACGAATATTTTAAAGTATTTCCTAATTGGTCCTTCGAACCGGATACATAAATAAAATGTAGTATAATGATGCTACAGCGTTGTTTACGCATAATATGGTTCTTCAGCCCTCAATATTATTGTAATACACTTACGAATCCTTTCCGATTCACGATATATACAACGTACTAGTGAGCCTCCATTGCTGTGAATATACCACAATTAAAAAAAATAAGTTCTTCGGCGTCCAAAGGTCAACAAGAAATTGATTTTAAAATTTTGGTTCATTCCATCTGTACCATTGCCGCGACCACAAAATAAAAACAAAAATTAAAAAACAAAATTGTATTTCCTTGCATAAACCCACTTTACAAACAACATACAGATAGTTATCGAAATGTTTTAGAGGGAAATTCGCAACTTTTGATTATGTACATAAAGATCGGTTACTACGTTTGCCTATAGTAACGAATGAATCTCTTGACCTAAATACTTTATTTTACTTGTATACAAATTGCAAAATTGTTTTTATAATAAATCGAGTTAATAAATTACATCCTCTGTCACTTTGGGGATATTATAACCTTCCCCGTCGTCTCCTCATGACCCTGGTATTTCGGTTTGCCATGTGTGAAAGGCAAATACCTGTATTTTATCATGTGCTGGAAAAAGAAAACAAAGATTATTACTTGTATAGGATGGACATGCTGTAAAAAATAGTATACAGTAATAACTATTGAGAGAAAGAAGTTAGAGTTAGTTAAAGAAGTATAGTTTATTTTTATGAACAAGAGAGTAATTAGCATAATTTTAACTGGTACCTTCGACCACTCCATGGGCGTGCTCAAGATTAATTGAAAAATTACTTTGAATAATTGTAAAAAATAAATGAATTATTTCAGTGTTATAAAGTGTTATGTGTATGTAAACAAAAGTGACCTCTTTTATCACACACTATATCAGAACTGACTGGCCTACATTAAAAAGGGTTTTAAAAAAATTCACATTTTTTTTAATTTTTAAAAATTACAAAAGGGAAAAAGAGTTTTTAAACCGTCTAAGGTATGTTAAATAGATGAATAAAAATATTAATATAAAACTTACAGCTACTTGTTACAAATACAAATCAGATTCAGAAGATGAACTTTCAGAACCAAGATTTATAATAACTGGCTCGATCATTTTATCAGTAATATTGTCCAGCTTCCACATTTTTTCCTCTTCTAAATAGTGTGATTTACTGCCTTTTCCCAGTTTTCAGGTTTTACATTATTTACGGCCTCCAAAAACAACTGTTTAACATCATGAATTTTAAAAGTGGTATTTTTTCTTGAAACTTCACTCTTTATCTGTGCCCATACCAGTTCAATCGGGTTTAATTCACAATGATATGGTGGGGATCTAAGTACTGTCATTCCACGATTTTTGGCAATTTCATCAATTTCGTATTTTTTAAATTTTTCTTTATGAAGGGCACACAACGAATAAAGTTCCTTTCTTATAGATCCGGGATGGTACGTAATATTTTTTCAACTCAGCCAATTCTGCAAGTCTTTTTTTTAACCACTTGGTTGTGGGCAGTCCTTCTATAAGTCTGGAGTGATAACTTGCATTATCCATTACTATTACACAGTTCTTAGGAAGAAGATCTATCATTTGTTCGAACCATTCTTGAAAGACATCAGCGTTCCTGTCTTCATGGTAGTCACCGGTACGAGTTGATTCAAAAGTTAATAAACCACCTTCAACAAAACCGTCTGAACTGCCAATGTGTACTATTATCAACCTGCGTCCCTTTCCTGATGGTGGGTTTAAACCAGTAGATAAGTTATTTACAAAAGCGTGCCTTTCACTTGTAACAGTTTCATCCTGCCAAAATTTATTTGGTGTATGACCCTCGTTGATCCATGTTTCATCAAGATAAAATATTTTTCTTTTTTGGTTTCTCATTTCCTTTATGGTTCTTAGAAAATGTCTTCTCCATATGACAATATCGCTTCTTTCTAATAAAATAGACTTTCTGGGATTCTTTTTCCAGCGGAAGCCTATTTCTTTTAAAAGTTTCCATAACGTACTTCGACTCATTTCCGGTAATCCTTATCATCTCGAACTGAGACAAGAACTTTATCCAATGTTGGAAATTCTTGTCTAAAGAAGAATTCATGCACTTTCCGTCGAAGTCCTTCTTTAAAATGATATTCTATTTGAAATTTTGGTTTCCCTGGAGCATTACGTGGCATTTGAAAACTACCACATTTCTCTTCTTTAATAACTCTGTAAATCGTAGATTTTCCAACACCAAGTGTACTGCTAACTAACTCAACGGTCTCATCAACACTTTCACATAAACGTTTGTCTGTAAATGATTTAAAACAATTAAATATTAATGTTTTTTCATTAACTGTTAAAGGACCAATTTTTCGGCGTTTACACGGCACTTCCAAATTTTCCATAACACTAGTATATAGAATAAACTGCACCTTGCAACTGATGTACCTACTTTTAGTGAACTGTTAAGAATTTTGAATACGCCACTTGGACCTTCCTACAAAATGGAAAAACCCACTATCACATTTTCTGTGGAATAAGTTTAGAAGGTAATTATCTAGTCAATTACTGTCGTAGATTCCTGGAATTAAAGAATTAAATGTTTGATTGTTGAAACCCTTACTTCGTGGAATGCACTCATTTCAGATAAAATAAAACGTTTTATTTTATCTAAAGAATTAAACTTTATTTTGCAAATAGGTAGGTACTTATTAAACTTTTATTGGTTATATATAAACAATAAAATAAACATCTTACATTTCTTGCAAATTCATTAGTACCTGTTAACCTCCATCACTCCGACACTGGCAACCTTATTTAGGGATTAGTAACCCTCACAACTATTGTATTATTCTGCTCCAACCTTTATACCTGGTGGTCATACTCAATTTAAAATTGTTTTCCTATATACTTCTGTAAACTTGTTGACAAATATCTGTTTTTCATTGAGTCACCCGTATCAACAGTTTAGGGATTGCATACATAATTTATTGTTTTATTACTCTCTCATACATAAAAATACACTATAACTTATATTTTTGTAAGAACAATATGAAACTTACCCTTATTTGCCTCTTCATAGTAATACAGAACAAAGTTATAAAATACATGACTAATATTGGCCAGAATACAGGTATGTTGAAGCAATCGAAGAACGTACAAATTAAACCAATGAGTGTACTCTTCGTTACTGAATACCAAAATTTGAATTCTGGTAGTCTTCTTATGAATGGCCTGAACTCTTCATTGGCTCTAGTGGGTAGTTCGGGACCGCCTTCGTCGCCTAAAACACAAGACCCAATCATGTGTGACCAAATAACAGACCAGAAAATGTATTTAAGCGTAAGAGAGCTGTATCAGTATTATATAAGATCAAGAAAAGTAATTGCTGGTGTCAAATAAAAACTGTCACCAGTGGCAAACTTGCCGTGTCGGTCTGAGCATATGCAAAGGAGTTTTGAACTAAATCGAAGCTGTTCAGTGTTCTGCGTATGTCAGAATGGGTAGAGAAGTTTTGATTCCCAACAAGGTGAGTCACAATGCCTAATTATGAATAAGGTATAACCAAATAAACGATGGGTCAACTGAGAACATGAAAGCGGCGGCAGCAATGTAATTAACTGTATGCTTGTTGATAAAACATATTGGAATTTTTTACTTGGCAACGCTGATCCACAATGTTGAAGTAGTGATGCCGGTTGTCAACTGTCACTTGTAACCTTATTTAATAATGTAGCACATGTTTGGTTTTAATTCTTACTGTAGAATGAAGTATTTAAATAATTAACTGCGAACTCTTTACCATTACCATAATTGGGGAACAAATTCTAACAGGTAATGGGCACAGACAAAAAAGAAGAACAAAAAAGAAAATTATGAAATATAAAAATAAAATGGCTAATGCAACTGCCTAAGAGTGAAACTTTTAGAATTTAAAAGACTCGTTGAAAATCCAACGTGGCTTAAAATAAAACGTTATAGGAGCGATAACGGTTTAGAATTTTGTAATGCTCGGTTTAGAGCTCTATTTAAGGATTCAGGAATAATACATGAAACTACAGTGCCATACACACCTGAACATAATTATGTACAGGCTGATTCTGGTTTCTCTAAAGCTTATTGGGCAGAAGCAGTGGTTACTACAATATATTTAAAAAAATCGTAGCCCTACTACAGCTGTTAATAGGACTCCTGCTGAAGAATTATGGACTGGATCCAAGGTCGATTTGTGTCACTTAAAAGTATTTGGATGTACAGTTTATGCTCATATACCAAAGAATTTTGGAAATAAATTTGATGTTAAATTTAAACTCATGATTATGGTATGATATTGTGAACATACTAAGGGTTATAGATTGGCTGATCTCCATTGTAGAGGAAAAATAGAAAAATGCAGAGATGTTATATTTTTTTAACACATAATGTATGAAAATAATTCAATTTCGACCCAACCTGAGGTTATAATATAATCAACTCCTTTTATTGAGGAATTTAATGGAAATATTGGTGATAAGTCCCATGCACACGTAACACCATTCTCTGATTCAGATTCGGTAGATTGTACTAATGAATCGGATGATAGGAAAAGGTCCCTCAGGGAGAGACATCCACCAGATTGGTTAACAGATTATGTTTCCTACCTAATTAGTTAGTTCTAATGAGGAACCTGTTACGGTAGAACAAGCTTTAAAGAGTAACAATTGTGATGAATGGTTTCAGGAAATGCAATCTGAATATAATTCACTTATAGATGATGACGTTTGGACTTTAGTAGATGAGCGAAGTAATCAGCATACTAATTCGTCTAAGTGGGTTTTTAACTTGAAAACAGATGCACAAGGCAGTACTCAATATAAGGCTAGATTAGTAGCTAGAGGTTATTGTTTGCTTATCAGCTCAGTTAAATCTGTCTGAACCCTTTGTAACTGTTTTTTTGAATGGGGAGCTGAAAGAAGGGGTCTATATGATGCAACGTGAGGATTTTATCAAACAGGGAGAGGAAGCAAAAAGTTGGTTTCCTTATATGATCAATCTATGGATTGAAACAGACTCCTAGGGTCTACAATGATACGATTAATCAAGAACTATGTAAGTTTGGTTTTCAAAGATCAAAAAACGAGCCTTGTTTATTTTTTAAAATAGAAGGAAAGTGTATTATTATACTAATTTTGAATGTTGATGATTTCTTTGTTATTCAGAATAATGTATCTATGAAACAAGAATTGTTGAATGATCTGAAAAAACAAATTTAAAATAAAGGACTTTCCTCACTAGCATTTACTACATTATCTAAGAGTGTCTGTAGATCTTGTATATTCTCTGCAATTAGTATAGTATCATCGGCATATCTGTTATTGTTGATGGGTCTGCCATTGAATTTTATTCCAATTACATTTACGAGTGATTTTTAAATTATTTCTTCCAAATATAGATTGAACAATAAGGGGGAGAGTATGCAACCTTGCCTTACGCCTTTTATCTCTACTTCCTCCGAAAGTTCTTTGCATACTTTTACTGTTTGGTTAAAGTAGAGATGAGTTATTATTCTTAAGTATTTTTTGTCAATGTGTTTATCTTTAAGTAACTGTATAAGACGGTTGTGTCGGACCTTATCTAATGCCTTATTGTAATCAATAAAACAAATAATAATACCCCCGTTGAGTCAAAATAACAAGTACTTTGTAGAAACTATACCCATTACAGCCTTGTAATAATTGTTTTCAAGATTAATTTTACGAATTTTTTAATAATTTTTAAAGAAAATCATTAAAAAGAACTACTTACCATCAAAGTCCATTGCAGGATCGATTTTTGGTGTGAGAAATGCTATAAACAGATTTAAATGATATATACCTAATGCATATGTGACTATATACCAGCCCTGAAAAAAACAATCCTTTTATGTAGATTACTTATGGTTGAAAATTTGCATAATAATATATAAGATGTTTACATTATTCCAACTGTTAAAATTATTTCAGCTATTGGAAAAATGTTACCTATCATTTGTTTCTAGTGGATTGAATCCACTGCCACAATTGAGATAGTTATGATTCAGTTAATAATAACTCTAGTTACCAATACAAATATTTGATCCAGAAAGACAAATTGTGGGGAGTTTGTTCTCGATAATAATCCTCAAATAACACCCAACTCTAATTAATGGCTCCACCTGCTGCACCCTGGTCAAATGTATAGGCCTACTAGTTGGTAAGTGGGAGAACTAGAGTATCTACTGAACCTGGCAATGGAAAACTACCTCATTGATATTGTATTTCGACAAGTTATGGCAAGATACTGCAGTGGAAAACAGACATAATCGAATTGGATGGTCTCTCAGGTCGTCAGCAAGCAAAATCCATACTATTTATAAAATTTCTTGACTTATTGCAGTCTGTACAAGCAATTGGACTTCGTTAGTGCTACATTTTCACCCAACGCACCAGAACTCTTCATGTAACTTGTCATTGATTGATGTATATTTCGCTCATTTTCACCAATTTCTTAATGTTGTAAAACGGATGAAAACAATATTCTAGTGTACTTTATGAACCAGAAATTTGTTTCCGGGATATAGAGGTATTATACAGAATTTCTTCAATTCATTTCTGATTTCTCGTAGTATTCATTTTTATAGCTTGTACAAATTAATCACGCTGTGTAACTGAGCATTTAGACTGACTCTATTATTAATTAATATAGTTTTGACTTGAAATTTACATTGAATCATAATTATTTTTAAATAAAAGCATAACAATTAAAATACATTTTGAGTGGGTGCCATAAACTGATGGACAAAACTAAAAGCATTGGCAAGTAAAGCAGTGCAAATTTGTCTTTATCTTATAAAGTGAGAATCAATAATTGTATCAAATGTCAAACAAAATTAACAAATGGTGCACCCATATTAAAAGTCAGAATTTCAACAACTATCCTACCTCTATCAATTATTACAATCTCCACCTTCTATATCAGAGACCTTTTTTAATTCAAAAATTACAATTTACATCTTCATAAAAGAATGATAGTCAAGTTACAGAAATCTGCAATGCAACATTTTTCGAAATTTATTCTATTCTATTAATTATGCTTTGTTCAATATTTATGGCACCTACCTCGAATCGTAAATAATTCAAAAATTAAGCAAATCAACTTAATTTATACAAAACATCTCTTTTGGATAAATTAAGTTTGCAGTGTTTACCAAAAAATGTAGCTCTGAAGTGGTGGATAAGGCAGATTTAGAAAAGACCTAAGTTTACATTCACCCGTCTTCAGTATAAGATACAAGAGTTAAAAAAACAGATCAAAAGAAAGTGATTAATACATTTGGTATTTGGTAGTCCAAATTAAACATAACCTAGTACTTAGCATGTCTCATCCATTTTGGCATAGCAAGTACAGCAGAGTAGTCTGCAATTTCTATATAAAAGAAATGTAACAGTAGTTAGTTATCTTTTCTGGTATATATACTCACTACTCTGTCTTATCTACTATCAATGCTGTTGAAGCAAGGTAGAGTGTGAAAAATTACTAGGTATGACTATTAATGACTACCAATAATAAAAGTTCATGATTTGTTTAAATGGTAGTATTCTTAATGGAAAACCATAAAAATATTACCCTAAAAATATATGCCCACAAGCTTTTACCAATACCTTTAAAATACTTATACTGAAGATTCCCAACAACCTCTTTGTCCCAAAATTGGAATGCACATCAGATTAATTTTTACTTTTTATTTGTTAAACTGTCTTTTGTGTAATAACCAAATGAAGTAATTTTTTTTCTGAACTTTGAAATATTCCAAGAATATTTCAAGGTTTTTAGGTAATTGTATAAAATATATTTGAAACAAAATTGTTTGTTTTAAAGCATTAGAAAGTTGCAAAACAGTAGAGCATCAATTATCTGAATGTCGATTAACCAAATTCTTATCCCTTATCCCAACTTCTGACAAAAGATAAGCAAAAGTTACTTTATGTCCCATCATATTCTGACAAATCCACAAAGGCAAAAAGATAAAACTTACCTCAAACACAGATTTAGATGATGCTGTAGATAACTGGTTTACTCAGAAAAGATTAGAGAGAAACTATTTCTGATTCTGTGTTAAAAAGCAGTTAAATTCAACAAAAAACCTGGAGAGCTGTAAGATTTTCAAGCAACCACAGGCTGGTTAAAATGATTTAAGTTGAAACATATCATTCATGAGCTTCAAATACAAGGATAAAAACTGTGCTGATTCATCAGCAGCAGATTGATTCTAAATGTAATTAAGAGAGTTACTGAAGGAAGAAAAGTACATTTACAAAACATTTGCAATGCAGACGAAACTGGGCTTGATTTGGAAGCTTTGACACAAAAAACTTTTGCGTTACATGGTGAATTAGCAGCATCTGGACCTAAAATAAGCAAGAATCATATCACCGCCTTAGCTTGTGCTAATGCAACTGGCAACCACTGATTGCCAATGTTTGTTATTGGTAAAAGCATGAAACCACAGTATTTTAAACACATTAATATGTCTGTGATATCTGTTGTTTACACTTCGCAAAAGAGTGCTTAGATGGATAGTACAATTTTCATGGAATGGTTTATAGTAACTTTTATATCCTCTGTTAAGCCCATCAATTAAAAATGGTAAAAGAGAGAAAACATGATTGCCTCTTGATAACATCCCAAGTCATTGATGTTGGAATGAAAAATACCTGTCCTTAAAAAACTATGTCGCCTAACTGCTCATAATCGGGGAGACGATTTTCTTAAAACTTTAGTAATTAATGTTTAAAAATCTTCAATTTTCGTCAATATTGTACCTAGAATATTTTTTGTTCCAAAGACTGTACTTTTTTGTTTAATTCCTATTTTTATCATTAAAGATATAAATACATATGTAAATATGGCTTTCATTCACCCATCATAAATAGGTACGGTTTGTATATTGTACAGTATAGTGTGATTATCAGAAAAAACGATTTTCTGAACACCCATGTCCCCCAATTAGTTCAGATAATCTAAGCTCAACTGTATTCTAAAAGCAATAATTTATTAATTAAGTGTGAGGGACATTTCCCTATTAATTGGATCAAATTTTATAGTTTATACCAAACTTTAAGTACAAAAATGTGATCTGATGGCACTCAAAATAACCCAAAGCATGAGAATGAATAGTAAAAAGTATTGTCTTGTTTGTATACCTGTGCCAATAGCACTCTGGCTAAAAACCCGGCTATGAGAAGTATGGCAGCTACCCATCTACCCTTTCGCCAGGGCACTGTCTTGTCCACCACTCCTTGGTACCACTAAAATACAAACAGAAAATTAATATTACCTGCTTGGTAACTATGCGCAAACCAAATAGTAAGAGGAGAGCTATGCTGCCACCCCATCTAGCCCTTGTGTGAGGAGTCCATGAATCCAATAAGCTCTGGTGAATCTGAGATTTGATAGGTTTTATTATTAGAGAAGTAACAGCAAGGTTTAATGGTTACATTCATTATATTTATACAATTTTTTAACTGTAGAATGCCAAAAAAATTGTAAATAATGTGAGGAGCTACCTGTAGAAACTATTTATTAGTAATGCTAGGATATTTTTCTGCAAAATTACTTACTTTTCAGACTTCCATTAAAATGTGACAAAATATTGACATAAAATTGCTGTTTTATCATAATTTTAAAGTTTTGTTGTAAATGAAATTGAGTATGAAACGAGATCATGATTATTGTAAACAAAATCAAGTATAAAATGTATAAGAATTCAAAGAAGTCTTTAAATTATGGAAAGAAAAGTTGCAACAGCAATAATGGTATCCAAAAATTAACTACAATGAATATAGGAAGACTATGACTCACGAAAACAGAATAAGATGATACAAAATGCTATATAAATAGACAAGATACATATCTCATCCTGGAAAATAGTAAATAAAAGAGATAATTATCCCTGTTTATAGAAAAGAGGGAGAAAGACCATGAAAAATGGTTCAATAAAGTAGAAGAAAACCTAAGTGATTTAAGAATAGATAGATTGAAGGAAGGTAATAGTGAATAGAGAAAAAATGGAGAAGTATATTCTATCAGACAAAACACAACAATCATTGTGAAAATATAAGAATATAAGGACTAATCAACATTGTCAAATTGGAGAGTATGAGCAAAGCATATAGACGCTTATAGAAGAGCAGTTCAAATGGACGATTTGGTTACGGTTTATACTTCAAAAGTCAAAACACTCCTTAAGACGGAAGCTGCATAAACTCAAAGCGTGCCGCCGTGGCCGTCGCCTTAAAGCTATCATGAAATATGTAGTTAGGGGGAAGTGGGAAAGGAGTACAAATGGAGCTATTTATTTAACTTTGCAACTATGCCTAAACAAATTTGGATGCCATTGATTTGCAAACTGTCCTTTTTTTTGTTTTTTTCACAATAAAATTTTTATTTTTAATATATTAAATTGTTAAATTTTTAATTTTAAAACTTCAAAATGTATGATATTTACAATATTCAAAGTATTTAGTTTTTTAATTTTATAACTTTGAATTGAAAATAGGTTTGTTCCAACACAACAAAAAAACATCACATAACTTTTTATTATACTGTTTTTCTGACCAAAAATTAACAAAACATTTTAAAAAAATTTCAACATTTTTCAACTAAAAATTTAATTTTTTCATGACTTTTCAACAAACTTTTTAGACAATTTTCCAAATTATTTCATTGAACAATTGTCCTGTTCAAAAAAGTATTCCATGAAACTTTTTACTAAATTAATAAATTTTCCATTTTATCCATAATTTTTTAATAACAACATAAAGCATTCCTGATTCATTTTTGAAATATTTAACAGTAACTTTTAATGAATAGTGTATATAAACTATTATTATTATACTTCACAATATGGAATTCTCAAATTGTAAAAAATAATTGTTTGGTGTATATGTTAAAAAGCAATTCTAGTGTACTAACAAGACCAGAAATTGTTTTTTGATCGAAACACCTTACAATTTTTTGAGATTTCTCTCCGGGTGATTGACTTTTAATTATATTATTTGTAGATTTGTACATAATTCAATTAAAAATTTGAATCATAATAGTTTTTCTAAAAAGATTAATTTATTAAAAGTTAAAATAATATTATTTTCTTTTAAAAAATTTTATAAAACCCAAAAATTTAATCCTATTCTATGACCACGTGGCATCTACATATAAAAATATCTAAAGTTGCATTTGTTGCCCCACTCTTTCATATTTTAGAAGCAATAATAGCCCTGACATGAGTGCTCCCTAGTGATACTAAAATTTTGATCCACCTCTTATTCTTTTTTGTAACATGCGATCAACCCTGTTCAACCTTTACCAACTAAAAAATAAATTAAAATTGAAAACATTTTTGGGGATGGGAATCCCCCACTAATTTCTGAGGGAAATTACATGCTTCTGCAATAAGAGCAGATTAGCAGATGAGATATGTCTGTGTACTGTACAATTCAATACTGGCTTACTTATAAAGAGAAGATGTGTGACATTAAATATCCCCAAAACACCATCCCAAACTAAGACTATTCCTTTGAAAATTACTCTTCACAATGTTTTTATGTAAGTTCTCTAATATTGTTGCCTGTATATAAAAATTAACACTCTTATATTTCTAAATGTTAGAGTTTTGTTTTTATTAACTTTTACTTGGAATTTGATTGATTATTCATGGTAATTCATAATTTGCATAAGAAGAAATATTTAGTTTTCCCCAATATATTAATAATAGAAACATGCAAATTATTTACAACTTTTAAGTAACCTTGGAATACATGTGAAACAACATCATTATTGAAAGAAAATAGCATAGAAAATTAGGTATTCTAAAAAAAAATTTACTAGAAAATGTTTTAACTGAATTAAAATTAGGAAAAAATTATCAGAAATTTAAAAACCATTTATATTTGTATTCAAGATATCACAGTGAACAGGAATAGATAAGATAAAAACTGAAAAATTAAGTGAAAACTAGTAACCTAGTAAATTTACATAAACTAGCAAACAGTTTAACATACAGTAAGTTAAATAAAAATATGTTTCCATTTCAATGTTTTATTAGTTCAAATTCAATTTATTTCTAGATCTGGTACACCAAGATTACATTTAATATACAGGTCTGTGATAATCTTATCAATAATTAGACCATAAACCCTTTGAATTAATAATATAACAGTAATAATAACAAGCAATAAATCTTAATAATTGCAACAGATTTCAAATTACATCCAATACTTTATTTGATTCTGTGATACCTACTGACTCATCAAGTTTATGAAATATACTTGCAAATTATGCTTAAATACATAATATTCTTTCTAATGTACAACACACACACAGGTTTAAATATTATCCCCCTTAAACTTAAACTGAATAAATCGAACTTATTATCAAGTTATTTAGGATGACGATATCGACATCAGAAACAGTAAACTACAAGCTTACCTGTGATATCCTGGTGCATAGTTGAGAAAATACATTTTTCTTCGAATTAGAAGTTAATAATTCTTCTTCCATATTTACGAAAATTCTATTATCCTAGAAATTAAACAATGTTACCTTCTCAGATTTTTCTAAAACTTCATTTCAAATTTGTCAACACAGGAAGTTTTATTTTGGGATTATTTTGGTACAGATATTTAGGAGACGCACTTTAAACGTAATACTTTGAACCAACCTATTTATTTTCCAGTAAAAAATTATTAATTGAAGATTGAAAGAACTTAAGAGTATTAATCCATTTTTGTACACGTCGATCCGTCAAACCCAAAAAGCGGTGGCAACTGACAACTGTCATAAATATGTGTATCATGTCATGTGATCTTCTTTATTTAAATATTTAAAAGACTAAATATTTTTTCAACAATCTTATTATCTGTGCCTTTCTTTTATCTCAGACTTGTTTTTTATTATGTGCTTTTACTTTGCGAATGAATTTGTTTATTTTTAGTTTTTCGAGCAGCTTCCTCATGAAAATTGGCTTATTATTAGATAATAAAACGTGTTAAAGCGATCTAATAAAAAGAAGATAAACTTGACATTTTTTATGGTTGACATTGACATTAGTGACGTTTCGTTTTTGAAAGTATTGTGAGTATTGTGGTGTTAAAATCAAAAGTTCTTTTTATAAAATAATACTAAAAATTACAAATGGATACCTACGAAAGCGTATTGCTAGTTAAACCTGAAGTATTCGTTTTTAATATTCCACCAAGGTCATCAAATAGAAATTATAGGTAAACCTTTGTCTTTGGAAAAAATCAGTACATCCACCCACTTCCTATGTTGGAAAAATAGCAAATTCAAAGAAAAATGACTCATTATTTTTAATGTTTGTTTATATTTTAGGGCTGCCGATTGGAATTTAGCGGAACCGTCATGGACAGGAAGAATGAGATTGATTTCAAAAGGCAATGAACTGTTTATCAAATTGGAAGATAAAAACTCTGGAGAACTGTTTGCCAAATGTCCCATTGATACTTACCCCGGAATAGCCATTGAACCTGTTAGTGATTCGTCAAGATACTTTGTTTTGCGTATTATGGATGATAATGGTAAAGTTTCCTAAATGAAAGTAAAAGTTTTTATAAAATGTTCAAATTTTAGGTCGAACTGCTTTTATTGGCATTGGTTTTGGAGATAGATCAGACTCGTTCGACTTAAATGTTGCTCTCCAAGACCACTTCAAATGGGTAAAGAAGGAAAAACAAATCAATGAAGAACCTAGTGGACCAGGTTTGGATCTTGGATTCAAAGAAGGAGAAACAATTAAAATTAACATGAAAATAACAAAGAAAGATGGTTCAGAGGGTAGTTCAAGGTCAAGAGTACAGACTTCAGGTGGGGGTCTGGGATTATTACCACCTCCACCAAGTGGTAAATTGCCAGCCCCACCAGGAAGTTCACCTACAGTGTCTCCTTCACATGCAGCCAAACCAAACCCATCTGGGGATTCTTGGTCTGAATTTAAATCAGCTGATGCCAGGTAAGTTATCAATGATTAAGGCATTTACTAATAGCTAAAGGTAAAAAATTAGAACTATGCTAGATTAATCTTCATAATATGTACCTAAAGAGTATTGTGAAAAACAGGATAGAATAAAACAAAAAATTCAGATATTGAAAAAAAAGTCATAACTTCGTCAAATCTTGAGATATTGTGTTAACATCTTCGCTGCGCCACCAGTTGAAAAAGACCTGTAGCTACGTTTGCAGAAATTACGGCTAAAATTAAACACATGTATTTCCATCTAGAGAGTAACGTACAAACGAAACTCATTGGTAAAAACTCACATTATAGGTACCTATACTATTATTGGAAAGAGATCTAGGATAGTAGGGATAATTTAGCACCAGTTATATTTGACTGGTATTGCATACAAGTTATTTATTTTTCATTGTTGGATTCCCAGATGAATTAATCTGGTGAGTAATTTTATTTGTAATTACCAGTTTAGTTTAGTTATCTGGGTCGAGCCATAATAATGTTTAAAATATTTATATAGGAATTGAGTAAAATGAGTAGCACTGTTAAATTAGTAAATTTGGAGATGCAAAATGCAACTACAAGTGGTAGTTGTGTAGACCCCAATCAGAAATTGGATTGGCACCAAGAAACAATTTTAAATATTTTGAGCGAATCAGAGGAAGAACCATTTAGCGACAATTTGGACTGTGATTCTAATTACGCTCCTTATGAATGTTCAACTAATTCAGATAATCATGAATATAAAATCAGTTTTGAGAAAACAAACCTGAAGTACCTGGTACCAAAAAAGGCGAAATTGTATGGAATATTACAAGAAGCTGAGGGAAATAATGAAAAGTAAAGAAACTGATAAAAAGGTCATTAAAAATACTAGATCCTGTAGCATACGTGAGGAAAAACCTGCTTTATGTTTACCATGTCTTAATTTTAAACAGAATGCATAAATTTTAAAACTTATACTTACTAATAATTAGCATTTGTTATTTTTGTAATAATAATATGTATTTTGTTCTCAATAAAAGTTTTGCTTTTATTTTACTTGAAAATATTATGCACTTCTTAAAAATTTCAGTTTTTGCCTTACCAAAAGGAATAGCCTGGTACTGATACAGTTTCCAGCAAGTTTGTATATTCCTTGAAAGTATAAAACTATTACTACACATAAATCTTTAAAAATTTAGAGGTAGATTGCACTCACATTTCTTAAGAACTACCAGTCTATTGCGACTGGTGTATCTAAATACATAATTCTATGGTACCAGTCAATTACAACTGGTAAGCAATACAACATAGTAATTGAATTTTTCCCAATCGCAGCGAAGGTGTTAATTATTATTTTTAATACCATCAATAAATATGTCTGTCAAATAAAGCTCAATGTAAACCCTTCTTACAACTCTCAGATTAAAAGTGATACTTTTAGTTTCGTTGCAGCCTTTATTATTGCATATGATGTAGCTGCAAAATTTTGTCTCCTAGAAAGTTTTTCTAAGCCAAAAATTATGTCTACCCCATATGTATCATCTACCCTTCTTTCTCTGTCGAGAAGAGTCTTTATAGGTCTTAGCAGCTTAGTATCTTCTCGATTTATCTTCGATATCAATGTTTTTATTACACCATATTTTTTTTAGACAGCTAGCTATATTTGTTGCTCTGTTTTTTTGTTCTTTTAGTTCTGTTTGAATGTCTTCATAGTATGATAGTTCTATGCCTGTGATATAAAATATAATATTAATGGCATAAATTAAGTTTAACAATGTTTATTTTCAGTGCTTCCCAAAACCAGCCTGCATCAAATAGCAACTGGGTGCAGTTCTAAGTTCTTCTGACAGGTGATATGTTGTTATTTAAAATATATGCGCGGGTTAGAATTATCCTAGGTAGTCTGAGGTGTGCTGTATAAATTATCATAACTATAAGTAGTTATATATCATACATATGCTAGTATTGAATAATTTTTATAAAAAGTGACCTTTTTCACATGATATATATATATATATATATATATATATATATATATATATATATATATATATATATATATATATATATATATACATTTTTATAGTGGTCATTATTTGCAAATTATAAATATATAAAGAATAGCTTGATTTTAAACTTATATACATAATTTATACATATTTTTTCTCAGCGTTTGTTACTTAAGTGATGCTATCAATCCTTGTTCTTCTATTTTTATGAATCTGATTGCTTAATAACAACTTTTGTGAATGTTTATGTCATATTTCTTGCCCATAAAGCACAGTACATAACTAAGAATAATCACGATATCTACCAAGTTCTTTAGTTAATATATATCTAGAGAAATAATACTTATATGTTTCCTACAGAGGATTCAGTGTTTATTTTTAGATGTTAACAAATAAGTGCAAAAATGCGATTTTCCAAATTTTTGCTTGCCATAAATGTGTGAACTAAAAGTCCAAAATTTTGTCTTGAAACAATAAAAAAAGGCTTCGAAGCATTCTAAAAATTGTAAATTTATTTTGTTGCTCCGAAAACGTCAAAATAAATCAAAATCGTTAATTATTTATAAGATTTATAATTTTGCCTCAGTTTTAAGAACAGCAAATTAGTTTTACAAGTTTCAGATTAGGCCATTTTGAAGATTTTTAATGTTTAAGACATAGTTTTGGACTTTTATTTCAAACATTTACTTTTTAATGTAGAGAAAAAATTTGAAAGAATAGCAAACAATTAGATACCTTGACTGTTCCAATATTTTTTACTTATTTTCATGAACTATATTGGAATAATCTAACTACCATTTTGCATTGATATCGTAGAAACTTTTCAGTAATATTTATTTATCGATTCCACTTTTTATGAAAATTATTCTGTTAATTTCACTAAGAATGTAAAGAAAAAATGGAACAAATAGCTACCACATCCATTCAAAGTTGTAATATATAACTTAATAAGAAGTTACTGTTCATTTGTTTTTGTAAAAATTCGCTAGTGTGTATATGCAGCATATAAATGTTTTTTTACTTATAAATATATTGCTCATGACTGTTTCTTAGTGGGTAACTATTTCTTTTTAACTTTGGAATCGTTTTAGGAGCTTGTTATAAACAATTTTTAGGATTATGTATGAATGCAATATGTAATCTTGCTTTCAAAACTTTCAAGTCAAATATTTGTAGCATTGTACATCTCTTATAGTATTAGACATTTTGGTCCTCATTAAACACAGTCTCTTGCTCATTGTTACTTCTTTTTACCACTATCTTTAAAATTCAACAATAAAATGCCTGTATTTTGTCTATTGAACACGTTATTGTATTTGGTAAACAAAAATCTTGCCCTAGGATTCTATGAGGACTACTGTCCAGATATTTTATTATGTGTATAAAGTTTTTAAAGCAAGAGTATGATTGTTTTTCTCCCTTTAAGCACGAGATTTAGTAGTTGTTGATTCGACTAGTATAGAATTTTGTTTTCGGGATCAACAAACAGTTTTCTTGAGTACCGAAAGCACAGATTCTAAACAAATTACCTGTAGTGCTTTTTTGTAACCCTTAGTTACTATAATTCCAGTTAGTTTGTGAAATTTTAACAAATTCAAGGCAGTATCGAAAAAAAAAACAATGTATAGAGGCAGCAATATTGCACAGTTTTGTACAACATGTATCAGGCTGACCACAAATGTGTGCAGCTTTGCCAGCTATACTTGAATGCGCGCGCAGCTTACTACTACTTTTGGTCTGGTTGATTGATTATGTCACAACATCTTAACACTTATTAAATTCTTCACAAACTCGTAATATAGTGAAAGGGTTACAGAAGATAATATTTTTGAGTGTTTGTATATATAAGAGTTATCAGTTATATCTATATAATAGATAAGAATCGATGTGACTGATATCAGGGATTCAGGCTTTGTTGTTAAAAAAATCTACTTAATACTTTGTTCCTATCTTTATTATTTATACTAATCTCACTTTTTATTTTACAAAATATGTTTTGCAACATTTTTTCTGATTTTTAACGAACAAATCTAGATATATGAAGTAGATCTGGAACTGGTACATATCACCGTTATTGATGTATATGCATAAAGGATTTTCCTTGTAATCATGTTGGATGTTTCTTATTGTTTTGTTAAATGCAGCTTTTAGACCACAAGGAACAATAAAACTATTTTTGAGGATTTAAAGTGATGAATATTCTTGTTCTTCATTTATTAGGTATATAATCTATTATTTCTTTATATCATATTTTCTGACGACTTAACTCAACTCTCTCAACCTTTTACGGTTGTCTTTCTAGTGGACTACAGCTACAATGTTTCTCTTGGAAGCATATTAGTTTCTAATTTATTTGTATCCACTCTTTACATGGTTGTACCAATAACAGGCAATTTAGACTTCTGGTATCGGTTGGACAACGTCCTTGAAATTCAGATTTTACACCTAATTCATTATTTCATACCATATTTTGTTTCCTTTTTTCCATATTTGAAACAAATATATTCATATTGAAAGCGGTAGATTTAATCTTTTTTAGATTTTTTTTAACTGATTTTTCTTTTTTTTACAACATCTTTCTACAACATATCTATTTTAAGGAAATTACCTTCATCTGTATTGTTGTGGTAATATATAAGGTTATATCTACAAAGTACTCTTGAATATCTCTTTCAAATCAACCATCAATAATTCCATCGTTTGTCAAAGGTCACCCCAACATTTTACTTCTAACAGCATCTCCTAGATCGGGACAAGCATTGCTTTCAATATTGATACGACCTATTATATTTGAACGAAATTGAAGAACCTATCAAGAAATGATTTTTGTGATAGAATTTTATAAGTTAAATCGCTGTACAGTGAGGGTTCTAAGTGTCTGCCTTGTTTGTCTCATTGTTTAGAAACAGGATTTTAATATACTGTGGTTTTTGTAGCGACTGGAAGTCTCGTATGCAACAACTTATAATAGTGTTTTTAGAACACAGACATGAGATTATTGTGAAAAATCCTTTGAGAGTGGTTTTATTATTCTAACGTGTTATGCTTTTACCTAGGAATATATGATCCTTCCTACATATTTAATATATATTTTGATAAGATAATGTCATTATGATGCTCTAAGAGTATTTTTAACAAACTTTAATTTTTTATATATTGAAAATAAATTCGAATCCCTGGTTAGAAGGTATCCATTAATTACGAGATACATTTTTGACTACCCTTTCTCCACGATGCGATTAATACGGACGCCTCAACGTTTTGTTTTTTCAAATGATTTTAATGTGAACAAAAAATACAGTAAAAGAGGGTCGTACATTCCTCGTCATGCGCGTTCTTTCGGCCATCTCACACATTTAAGTATAATTCCATCACTTATAACGTTTTGTCCATACACTACACAAATTTGTTAGTGAATTTCAGTAGGCAAAATATAATGCATCATAATACTCATATGGTTAATATAAAACATGGAATTCTTAGATATAAACATTATAGTAATTGTCAGCAAGGACTTTTATATATTTTTGCACATAATTCCTATGAATATTAGGGTACTTATATCGAACAACAAGCTTTTGCCGCTCAATTTGACAGCTGCAACATGATCATTTTGAGGTTAATGCCATTATCGTGGCGCTTACCTACAACACGTTTCTTCAGTTGCAGAAACTCGTGTATGTCAGTCACTGGATGCTAGATTGTCCATCAAAACGACTCCGTTACTCAGCAATTTGTGGCATTTGTTTTGAATTGCATGGCACAGGTTTTTTTAATTCTCATAATGTCTTAAAAAATTTATTGTGTCACCATGAAGCCAAAATCAAGGATCAACACCCCTTTCCTATTCCAAAACACGATACATATGATTTTGACAGACAAGGTGTGACAGTAATAATTTCGTGAATCTGATAACGGAGAAATCATGAATAGTCTGTTTTGTCACTTTTACGTCGAATTTGTCGACGTAAAAATGACAAAAAAATGAATAATGTCGCATATTTTACAATCGACTTGATTTTCAATAAGTTGAGACATTATAAATACACAGTCGATTGTTGCCACAATGGATCCGAATGTTACCGAGAAGTAATTGATGGATAATATTCATAACCCAGTGTTGTATCGTGATTTTTGTCACACCGTTCGAGGAGGAGAAGCCTAGATTTCTTATCGTCTACGAATGGAGCGATAGTTTTTAATTTAATTAATTTTATTCGTGTACTAGAACAATCTGGAATAGTCCACCTCTATTTTCGCTTGTATTGACGCCTCGATCTCTCATCCAGTCGATACATCAGGAACACTCTCGAACACACATCATCGTCTTAAGATGCAACCGTTACATGGGGTACGTAGAAATGAGCTCGTTCGTCACACTATCAACAATAAAATTAAAATGTTGCCTCAAATATACGGTAAAGTGATTTTTAAAAATTTGAAGCTATGCTGGCTACACTTCTACTTCTCTTTTAAGAATGATTTGTGGTAACCTATGAACTCATTTTTGCTCACGTAATTAATGGATACCCTCTTAAATTTTTACTTAAGGCACACGTTTTCTCTATAAGAATTATTAATAATAATTATTTATACATATTTACTAGTTTGTATTCCTTTATACAGGGTGTCAGTTTATTTCTGTCGTCGAAAAATTACGATTTTACGAAAAAACTTTTAAATTCAATAGTTTTAGTTTTATTTCAGTTGAATTTGTAGAAAACATGTTTCATAATATCTTTTAAGGTTTCATACACGTTAAAATATATAAAGTATAATAGAAACCACTGATTTTGTGGTAATTTTTATTGAAAAACTTCATTTTTGTTGCTAAAAGTCTAAAATTTACACATTTCGCTAGAAAAATTAACTGCATCAATCACTAAGGTAATTATATAGAGAGATATACTAATGATACACTGTTTTCCAGACTTATGGGACGTGGTTTGGAATTATTTCGTTTCGATGTTTCCTCTGCAACTGCAGTAA